CCAAAAACACCATATAAGGCTGTACTTCCTGCCTCACGTACAAGGAAGTGTCCATCCATGAAAATGACAGCGATAATTAAAAAGAAGAACTTTACGAGTTCAGAGATTGAAGTCCGTCTGTCAGAGATCCAGAAAAGAATATCTGTCATTTTTAGCAGGTCAGCTGTGGAATAAAAAGAGCTGCCAAAAGTATAAACAACGGTGTTAAATCATTTTCATTTATTCAGAAGCCGCAGCGCTGCGCACCATACGACATGGAACAGCATCATCTTTCAGGTGAACTTTACGCTCAACCAAAGTAGTGAAACCTGGTGTTTCTGTGAAGAGGTCTGGGTCAAGCAATGACTGAATCTCTCTCTGCTGATCTGACTGAAGATGTGACAGATCAATTGTACTGGATTTTGTAATCTCACCCGGGAACTCCTGTTCCTTTTCATCTTCGTCTGCTTCACAAATGAAAAGATGGGGTTGGGGTAGATCCTGTTGTGCTGGCTGCATCTGGTTTGATAAAGAACAGCGAAACTCTTTTAAAAGGTTCACATGAAAACACTGATGTTTCTTCTGCCTGTCTGGTGTGTGGATTTCATAGGAGACCTTACTCACACATCTGGTGATCTTATAAGGACCGTGCCATTTGGTTAACAGCTTACTGTCACTGGTAGGTAGAAGCAACAATACCTGCTGTCCAACCTGAAAAGTTCTCTCTCTGTTACATTTTTATCATACCAGACCTTCTGAGTAGCTTGTGCTGTCCTCATGTGTTCCTGAGCCAGTTCTGTCATCTGCTCCATTTCGTCTCTCTTCAGAACATGTCTCCCAGTGATCTCTGAGGAGGTCCAATGGTCCTCTGACTTGACAACCATAAAGAAGTTCAAAAGGAGAAAATCCCGTAGATGCTTGTGTTACCTCTCGGTATGCGAACAGAAGATATGGCAGCCACTGGTCCCAGTCGGAGCCTCTTTGGGAGACAAACTTCCACAGCATGTTTTTAAGAGTCTGATTACATTTCTCCACCAATCCGTTCATCTGGGGGTGATATGGAGTGGACTTAATACCCTTTACACCTAGCAGCCCATAAACTTGCTGAAGCAGTTTAGATAAAAGGTTTGTACCACAGTCAGTCAGGACTTCTTTGGGTATGCCTACTCTTGAAAACAGCTGAATGAGACAATGAGCCACATGTCCAGTAGTGACAGATCTAAGGGGAAAAGCCTCAGGATAACGGGTGGCATAATCACAAATAACCAGTACACATCTGTGGCCAGACAAGCTTTTTTCAAGAGGCCCTACAATATCCATTACAATTCTGTCAAAAGTGGTGGCAATTAAGGGCAGTGGCTGAAGCTGGGCTCGTGGTACCCCTTTAGGTGATGTCAACTGGCAGGTCTCACATGTAGCACAAAACTCTTTTATTTGTGTACACATACCAGGCCAAACAAACCTTTTACCTATTACCTAAGGGATTTCTGGAATGCTAAATGGCCTGCCTATGGGACAGAATGACCAAGCTCCATGACCTTTTGTGTGAAACTTTGTCTTTGATAGAGTATGCCATTTTTTATTATATAAGTAGCATCTGCTAGGCAGTCTGTACCACCTAGTTTTTCACCCTCTACCTCTGAAACTTTGTCAAACCAACATTTTAGCTTTGTATCAACACTTTGGAGCACAGCAATGTCTGAGGGAATGTCAAAATCGACGAACTGGCTTGGTTCGTTGGCAAGTTCACCCCGTTTCTTAGCTGAAACTAAAAACTTGTCTCTCCTCTTCTGTGCTCTAGTTTTATGCAGCTTTACTGGACCCTCTTGYAGCTCAGCATGGTAAAAAGGCATCTCCTCAAGAGCATTCTTAGCTTTCTGAGGTCTGGTAACCACCACATTACAGGATGTACTAGCTTTTCCCAGTAACTGCCTCTCTATCTGTTGAACTGGTGATGTTAAACTGTTCTCTTCATCCCACTGTGCTTTAGCTTGTGCTTTTTGGATGAGATCAAAAAGCACAGGAACATCACTACCTAAAATAACAGAATATGGCAGCTTAGTCCCCAGAGCTACTGACATTAGGTAAGTTTGACCATCAACTGTTAGATAAACTTCAGCTATGGGATACATTTTCTAATCACCATGAGCACAACAAATGTTGGCAGAAGTTTCAGTCCAAAGGTCTCTTGGCACAATACTAGAGTGAATCACCAATTTAAGACAGCCTGAGTCTAACAGGGCCTCCTCATGCTGACCATTGATTAAGACTGGGACAGTTAAAATCTCTTTCTGACATGACAGTGGTTGAGAGTGTGGTGGAAAAAAACTTTTCCATGTCTGTTAAACAAAATGCAGAAATGCATGATCAAAAACGTTCTTCACTACAATGGTCTCTGAGTAATTTTATTGCAATAAAATGAGAGTCAACATGCATACAGCAATACAAGTTGAGTCTGGGAACACAGCCCCAATGAAGCATCTTTTACACCTTTAGTAGAAACCAGTCCCAAAACTGGTTATTTCTGACATGCAATGAGTTGTTCTTTATCTGAGCAGCAAAAATTCCTAGTTTCAGTTAAAACTTGTTCKGTGGTCTTTAAACAGAGGAAAACACCTTAGAATGTGGTTTTACTTGCTATTTCATTGTCTCTTATGTAAGAACCTTGTCCACCAGGGTTCCTACACCTTCTCAATTACTGAGGAAACRAGCTATTTTATGAAAGGCAATACGTCTCAGAATGGAAGTGAGAAAAAACAATAATTTGTAGTTCCAGTCCAGTTCAATTTTCTAAAATAAAGTTATTTATTTACAGACAAATGAACTTAACTATATACAATTAAAGCTTAACAATCAAACTTTCTGAATCAAACATTCCATTAATTGTCTTGGACGCAAAACAATTAATGGAATCAAACATTCCATTAATTGTTTTGCGTCCAAGACACCTACTGAACTGTGACACTCAGGATTGAACAAACAATAAACAAGTTTTGGATGTTATAAAAACTAGTTTACAGGCATTTTAACTTATGGCAAGGTTTAGATTAGGAAAGGAGGAAAAGAGAATTAGTAAATATTTAGTTTTAACTTTTTATCTTATCAAGATTACCAGAACAAACCCAGATCAGCTTCCGTCTCCCACTCAGCTGGGCTCTCTAGCTGACAAAACTTTGCCTCTACCTGTTGATGGCTTCACCGTCACAGAGGCAGGTCAGGAGGCAGGTCAGCATGACTTCCCAGGGTTTTTGTTTACAGCATCGCAGAGAATCTGCCCTTTAGTGATGAGACAAGGTTCAGCTCGGCAGTCCGGCTCTTTTCAGGAAAAAGTTCAAAATTGGAGTTAAGGCCGATTTTGCCTTAGCTCCAAACAGGAGACTTTTTCTCATTAGCTCTTGAGAAAAAGAATTCCGTTAAGCTGAACTTCCCGCAGGAAGTTCAGATGAGACGAAAAACTTGTATTTCGTTCCTCATTCAAATTCAGACTAAATCAAATTCGTGTGTTAGTAGTCTAAAGCAGTGGTTCCCAACCTTTTTAGACTTGTGTACCCCCAGAGCCATTTTGTCATACCACTAGTACCCCTTCAGTCAAACATAATGATGATTCTCCAAAACTAGGGACGCACCGATATGAAAATTTCAGCCGATATCGATAACTGATATAATTATTTCTGTTGTGGCCGATAACTGATATTACACAAACACACAAATTATATTATACATATATGCACAAACACACAGGTATTTTATTGATACAGTAAGTAAATGACCAGACCTCTGACATGGCTCCCTACTTCAGTTATTCCTGGTTGCGCAGCGTCAATATCACTATCATGATCAAACAGATACCACTCAACCAACCATCGCACCTCCCAAAACACAAAGCTAAAAAGTGGGAAATCAATATCGGATGTTAATATCAACCCAGTTTTACATATCGGATCGATACCAATATTAATACTGATATATCGTGCATCCCTATCCAAAACTATAATGTGCTACAACTGATTATTAAATAAAATTATTTATTTAACTCCCTAGAACGTTGAATTCTCAGGC